AGCCAAAGGTCACACGGAGCCATATGGGGAGAGTACGGAGTGTGACGAACCACAGGAGTGTTATGTTTGGCGACGAAAGCCCGAATCAGATGCGCAGAATGGGCGGATGCGTTATCACGATGGAGTTGCCAAGTTTTGATCGACCACAGATCCGATTGTTTGCATCGCACAGCATCGGAAAGACGACGAAGGACCTCCTGGTAGTACTCCTTTGCGATGGTTTGGCCTTGTGGTGCGTACTCTCGACACACCACCCCACGAAAGTCAAAAAAGCTGTCAACATGACCTTTGACATTGCTGCGGACCTGCCGCGCTTTTTTTGGCCTCGAGGATTGTCCCCATTGAATCTTGTGAATGGTTTACACTCGGGTATCGCCAAGGTTTTTGGCAAAATTTGATGTAATATTGCTGCTCACATTGTTCAGTCGTTTTCCAGCTTAGTGAAATCCGACGAGAGCGCACTACTTGACCTCACTCATAGGCCGATTGCCAACGACTGATGCTTCCTGCAGGCGGGAAAAAATTCAGGGTTGTGCATGACTGTCCCCTCCACAACTCCACCGAAGGAGGCCTGTCGCGCATCATTGGTTTACGCGGAAAAAAAAGGTCCGATACTTTTTGAACAGACCTTGTATTCTTGAATTTGTGATTCATCTCTTGTTCTGTTACAATATCCATTTCCAAATATGTTTTTTAACTTGAAGATGGTTGCTAAAGGCAATTGAAAACTTTTGTTTTTCTTTATTATTTTATGTTACAAGTTGGATTTCTATTTTGGAATTATCTATTATCAAATAGTTTATATATTTCTTTGTATTTTTAATTTTTATTTCATTTTTAAACCAGTACTCAAGATGATAAACTATAATGATATTCTTGTAAGTCTAATTATAGTAGATTATTATATTTCTAATACAGTCGACCCCTCTAAAACACTGTTGATTATTCTGTTTTATATGAATTCCATGTTGTACAAGTCACATATTTTACAAATATGTGAGCCGTTCACAGCCCAGAACACGTATTTGTAAAATCTAAGTGACTCGTACAACATGGAATTCATATAAAACAGAATTATCAACAGTGTTATAGGGGGGTTGACTGTATAAATGATTATACTTTTTTCCTTTTGCTTAGTATCTTCATGATTTTATATGCAAATAAATTTCTAAACTGGCATTATTAATAATTTATAAGAATTTGGTTACATAGATAAATTAAAATTTATTAGATATTTTAATAATTTNGACCCTTCGAGAGATATAAGCCCCTGAAATAATAAATTCCTATTACAAATATACTGAATTATTTATATTGTTATATTGACCAAATAATAATTTATTGGCCAAATGAATAATAAAAATAAATTTTTATTATTCATTTGGCCAATTAATTATTATTATTATTATTTTATTGTTAATTTAAATAAGAATTAAAATTGTTAATTTGAATGTTTGAAATATGACACACGATAGGGGTGCCTCTAGTGTCTGTTATCAAACGGTTACGGGACGGACAGACGGATACCCATTGAATGGGTTATATATATAGATATATTACCAGTACATATATATAAGAAACAGCAATTCTGAAAACAAATTTTTAAAGAAGAGAAAATTTACATAGAAAGTAAATAGACAAAACATATAAACCCATTTAATTTATAATTATTTTATGTAAAAATTGTATTGATTTGATAAAATGTTTACTGATTAAATGCAAACCATTAATCTCTCAAATATAAATAGGCATGCCACTGCCAAACCATGCAGTCTTTGTTGAAAGATTCATCAAAACTTAATCAAAAGTCACTCAGAATTTTTTTAAACTTCAGTTTTTATGAAATTGTTTGAAAAACACTTTTTTCCTTTGCTCAATAAAGTTTCATGCTTATTCAAACACAAAAAATATTATTGAAATCTCCTAGGACCGTACCATAACTTCCTCTTCCTCTTGTAAGATTTCCCTGGTGATAAACTGAAAGGTTTGAAAGTATTCAGAAATTTATGAATGCTTTATTTTTTAATGTTCTTTAATAAAGCAGTGAAATAAAGTCCTTTGAAGATTTGGAGTTTATGTTTACTTTTTAAATTTTTATGCAACAAAATTTTCAAAAAATTAGGTAAAGTCAAAAATGTGGTAGATGCAATTTTAAATGAAAAATTACAGTAAATAAAATGAATATTAAAAATTTGGGTATATATTTTTATGACATTAAACTGTTAAGTATGTCAGAATATGGATAATTGCAATATATCTGTTTCAGAAATAATATAAATCATTTCTGAAAGTATTTTAGCATAAAATATCTGATGTTCTATAATTCTTATATAGTATATTATTTGTAAAAGAATAGCTTTAAAATTAAGAAACTTTAACCTGCTCCTATATTGATCAATTGTTTTTGACTATCTACATTAACTATTGGAATTGTATAAATCTCACTTTTTTAAAAGTTACTCTCTTTTCTTATCATTATATAATTATTTTTATCAATAAACAGTTTGGTTGATAAGATTTTCTAATATAATAAATTTTGTCATCATGATATGAATTTAAATCATTTTGACATCATGATGATTTAATGTTATCAAAATCAAGTGTTATTTTATTTGTGTCTTGATAAATAATAATAAATTCTTCTAAAGATGAATACTAAGAGCTGAGCATTGTTTGAGATAATTTTATTTTATTGTAATTATTATAAATAAAGCGCAGTAAAACCTGTCTAAAGTGGAACCTGGATAAAATAGAAACCTGCCTAAACAGAAAAAAAGTTTTTGAAGTGGAGTGAAAAGTTTCTATTAATTCTTACTCTAAGTCAGAAACCTGTTCAATGCAGAAATAGAAGAGGTTTTTGGGCATGAGGAGTGTAACTAAACTGAATAAAGTGGAAAATGAAGACTCTGTTTGTATACAAATAAGTAAATTCTCCTCCAGGTATAAACAGTCATTGCAGAACATACAAACTGTATTATGAGAACAATTTCAAACCTTGTCAGAGAAATGAAGGTTACATGACATGGGCATATACAGACATGGGATCTTTGTTAGGATTAACCAGTGCAGAATCAAACACTTTTACAAATTCAGAACTTTTAAGAATCAAATTCAAATTCAAGAACTGAGTTCTTGAGAAATTTACCTTGTTAAAGATCTCCATTTGATTTTAATTCTAAGGAAAACATTTTTACTTTCCTTACTTTCTCTAGAAAATTGCTCTCTTTAAAAAATTCTTAGAATTTTCCATTTAAGGCTCAACTTATACATGCTCAAGTAAATTTTAAGATTTGCCATTTGTTTTTAATGACATATCTGGATATTTGTTCTTTCATTATGACTTTATCCTGCAATTGAAGTAGTCAGAAAAATTTACTTCAAATTTGACAATTTGTTTGTATGGTTACATTTTTTCCAATTTTTTTTAATATGGCATTTACCAATGGTTGAGTGTATAACACCAGTAAACACTGTAGTTTGTACCTGACCAACAGGCTAGTGCATGGAGTTTTCCAGGTTTTCTTAACTTTTCTGATTATCTAAATAGGGGGCCAGTTTTCCATAGAAAGTCTTACCTGGAGGTACCTTTCCTTGGAAGAATATTACATACTAGTAGCTTGGGACGCCCCCTAGTGGGCGTTCTTTACAAATTTCCATGAGGCACGGTTCCTTTGACTTTTTTGTTCCTATCAATATGCTCTACAGCTCTGTTAAAATCCAAATGGTAAGGTTTACTCTCCGATTGAAGAAGTGGCAACCCCACCAAACTGTAGATCCCTGTACTAACAATAAAGTCAAAGGAACCATACCCCTACTCGCGACCCTTCGAGAGATAGATATAAGCCCCTGAAATAATAAATTCCTATTACAAATATACTGAATTATTTATATTATTATATTGACCAAATAATAATTTATTGGCCAAATGAATAATAAAAATAAATTTTTATTATTCATTTGGCCAATTAATTATTATTATTATTATTTTATTGTTAATTTAAATAAGAATTAAAATTGTTAATTTGAATGTTTGAAATATGACACACGATAGGGGTGCCTCTAGTGTCTGTTATCAAACGGTTACGGGACGGACAGACGGATACCCATTGAATGGGTTATATATATAGATATATTACCAGTACATATATATAAGAAACAGCAATTCTGAAAACAAATTTTTAAAGAAGAGAAAATTTACATAGAAAGTAAATAGACAAAACATATAAACCCATTTAATTTATAATTATTTTATGTAAAAATTGTATTGATTTGATAAAATGTTTACTGATTAAATGCAAACCATTAATCTCTCAAATATAAATAGGCATGCCACTGCCAAACCATGCAGTCTTTGTTGAAAGATTCATCAAAACTTAATCAAAAGTCACTCAGAATTTTTTTAAACTTCAGTTTTTATGAAATTGTTTGAAAAACACTTTTTTCCTTTGCTCAATAAAGTTTCATGCTTATTCAAACACAAAAAATATTATTGAAATCTCCTAGGACCGTACCATAACTTCCTCTTCCTCTTGTAAGATTTCCCTGGTGATAAACTGAAAGGTTTGAAAGTATTCAGAAATTTATGAATGCTTTATTTTTTAATGTTCTTTAATAAAGCAGTGAAATAAAGTCCTTTGAAGATTTGGAGTTTATGTTTACTTTTTAAATTTTTATGCAACAAAATTTTCAAAAAATTAGGTAAAGTCAAAAATGTGGTAGATGCAATTTTAAATGAAAAATTACAGTAAATAAAATGAATATTAAAAATTTGGGTATATATTTTTATGACATTAAACTGTTAAGTATGTCAGAATATGGATAATTGCAATATATCTGTTTCAGAAATAATATAAATCATTCCTGAAAGTATTTTAGCATAATACTTTCAGGAATGATTTATCTTTTAGTTATTATATTGATATTTTATATATTAATATTTCTAATATTTTTTCAATAATAACTAATATATTTACTAATTTTATCTTTATAATCACTTACAGACAGCTAAAAGAAAATGAAGATAAAAAAAATGATTCAGATGATTCACCTTTACATTCATTGGAAGCTGAATCTCATGGACCAACTATTCAACAATATATTAGTAAATACATGGATCATGGATTTGATGAATCACTTACACGTGAAACAAAAAAAAGAAAGGAAAAAGAAAACTTTGGACGGACTTTGAAAGTAGCAGCACAACAAACTTTAAATCAAAGAGTTTATTTTAATAAAGAATCCTCACAATCTGCTAACAGTTTGACTATTTTGTTGTCTTCTGCATCTTCATCTGACTCATCATGCTCATCACCAACACACCTTGAACCTAATTCTTCTCAAGTATTTTTTCATTCATCAGTTAAGTGCTCAGATGCAGTTGATAAATTAGAATTAAGACGTAAGAAACATTGGAATAAAAAACGCACTATTGAACGAGATAGAAAAACAGGCCATGTCAATTATGATGCTTTGACTCCATCACCAGTGGAAATAGAAAAACTTTTTATTCAGGTAAATTTGCATTTTATACAATTTCTAAAAAAGTATTTTCTTAATTTTAGTTATAATGCTGTTTAAATTCTACATAGAAATATAGGTATAAGTATAGAAATGCTTTGACACATTTTTTGAAATATGATTTTGTAATGTTATAATACATATAACATTTATTTTAATTGCTAAAGTATAATATTTAAAGTGGTAATGAAATTACAAATCTGTATATTAATACTATTTTATTGGAAATTACATATTTATGATAAGGCATCTTAATTTCTCTGCAGAAATTCATCAGACTACAGATATGTTTGATTGGAAATAATTTCAATATTAATCAGTTTTTAGAATAATTTGCCACATAAAGTCCATTGAATTTCAAATAAATAAGTAGTTTTTAAAATATTAAAATTGAAATTAAAATATAGTTGACCCTCCTATAACACAGTAGATATGTTCCACTTTATAAGAATTTCACGTTGTAGGAATCCTTAAATACATGAGCCAATCACAGCCAGGCACATGTGCAGTTTACAAACTATGGCTGTTTGAAAGGTTTTCTTCCATAAAATTAATCAATTCTAGACTAATTTGACTCAACATTTTCAAAACACATATAATTTTTTGGGAATAATCCATATACAGTAGACCCCCCTATAACGCTTAGATACGTTCCACGCTAACCGAAAATTACGTTGTAGGAATGATTAAATACATGAGCCAATCGCAGCCCGATAGGTGGGAACTTTACGGACTAAGGCTGTTCGAAAGGTTTTCTTCTATAAAATTAACCGATTCTAGACTAATTCGACTCAACATTTCCAAAACACGTATAATTTTTTGGGAGTAATCCGTATAAACTATGCTATAAACAAAAAATTATAGGATTACTTACCGAGTGTGTACCGTTCGACTACGCCGTTGCTTAAAGCTGGTTTTCATCGCGGAACAGCACATTAAACGGCGGCCGCGATTTCTAATAACGAATTTTTCGCATAAAAATAACTTGACCTTTGGAGACATCATTAATATAAATAATTTTTATGGCCGTTGAATAAGAAGTGTTTCTTTCACAAGAAATGTATAAAATTAGTGCTGTATTAGACTTACGGTACCTAATTTACATACTGTACAGACGATAATAAACTCAACTTACTAGCCTAAAATCTCCGTAGCGTGTTGCCAGGCGGCAGAAAGCATATATATAATTATAATAAAGTTACAATAAATTAAGTTAATATATAATTATATATACAGTACCTAATTTATATATAATTAATATATAATTATATGTACAGTACCTAATTTATATATAATTTATATATAATACTAAACAGACGATAGCAAACTCAATTTAGCCGCTCCGTAGCGTGGCGCAGGGTCGGAGGAAAGTAGTTCGGCTGCTCATCCACTATTGGTCCAGACTCTATCAATCTTGTCGCGAAACGACGTTATAGGAGGTACGTTATACGAAAGTTTCTACAATTTTTTCGCTATGTTATAGGAATTGTCGTTATAGGAACGTACGTTATAGGGGAGTCGACTGTAAACTATGCTAAAAACAAAAAATTGTAGGATTACTTATTGAGTGTGCACCGTTCGACAACGCTATTGCTTAAGCTTGTTTTCGTCACAGAGCAGCACACCAAATGGCAAGCGCATTTTCTGATAAGTTATTTTTCTGCAAAAAATTCATTGAACTTTGGAGACATCATTAATAGAAATAATTTTTATGGCTGTTGAATAAGAAATGTTTTGGACTTCCAACTCACATTTGAGTTATATCTCAAATGAACAAAGAAAACAAAAAAAAACAACAAAGAAATGTTTTTTCACAAGAAATGTATAAAATTACAGTGTTAATACGGGGGCGTAAGGCTCCCGTTCACTTGTCAGGATGATACGTCAGGCAAGTGAAAAGAGAGTTGATTGGGGTCGACGATAAGGTGAAGGGCGAGATCAAGTAAAGGAGTCTACCATTTTTTTAACAAATAAAAATAACAATTTATTAAAGAAGCAAAATGGACAAAACTACACAAAGCTCGTTTCTATACCGCTCTAGAGAGAGTTCACAGTGCTTTCATACCTCTTATAGCTGTCCCCTTTGACGATTCTGAACGTGGATGCCTTTAAAATATTGATTCAAGGAATAATCTACAAATACGGCACAAATTACATATAATCGCGACTTAAGCACTCATTTAATTCGAGGTTCATCGGAATTCGGCTGGTTCGGAAGATCGGCGTGATGTCGTTAATCCTGCGTTCGTTCGTAGACGCCCCTGAGAGGGGGTAAGAATGGTCTTTTATCCATTTTAGTGGGAAATTTCCACCTCGTGATAGGATGTTCATAGGTTAAGGGTTATAGGTGTTCCAGGGATCTAAAACAAATGACGACATTGGGATGCTAATTGTCAACCATTTTGCAAGATGAGATGCAAGTTCTGCAAAGAACAATGGTTGTTGCTAGTTATGACCGGAAAGTTTACACAATCCCGGGCAAAATTGGTTTTTTCTTCTAAGGTGTTACATAAACAAAAATTTAATTAATTACCATTTTTGTTAATAAACGAGCGATAATTTCGTCACCAAAATTTCAGATCTCACAACAGTACTGTATTAGATTTACAGTACCTAATTTATATACTGTACAGACGATAGTAAACTCAACTTACCCGCCTAAACTCTCCGCAGCGTGTAAGTAGTTCAGCTGCTCGTCCACTATTGGTCCAGATTCGATTGATCTTGTTGTGATACAAGTCGGCAATGACATTTTACCGCATTTTATGAGTCTCTTTTAGTGTCTTTATATGAATACGGTCGCAATTTTTTTGCCGCAATATATGAATCCGCGTTATATGAACCCATGTTATAGGGGAGGTCTACTGTATAGCACAACTGAATCTAATTCAAGCTTAATTTGAATTATTGGGTAGTTTGAACCCACAATTATTCTCATATAATTTGTATTTAAATCAGAATTAACATATATGCTTTAAGTATTTTTAATATAAATTCATATAATTTAAAGCTAGTATATATCATATTTCAAAAACAAAACTCAGAGAATGTAGCATGATTCATCTGATTTATAAAAATCAATTGACTACAGTCAAACTTTCAAAGATTACTGGAAATGGGGGTTAAAGTATCATGTTTCATAGTTTTAAAGATAGCTGAGTTTAAATAACAGTTATTTAGTTACTTTTTTGATGTATAAATGTGAAACTTGCATAAGTTTATCTTTAGCTTAAAAAGTTAACAATTAAAGGAATGGAAATAAAAGTAAAAAGAAAATGATCTACAAAAAATATAAAATACTGTTGAAAGCTACAAACTTGTAGAAATCTAGTTTAATTTACAAAAATGGATAATTAAAATATTTGATAATTTAAAATTTGGATTACTCCTAATATTTGAATTAAAAGGATTTAACTGTTTTCAATTTTAGTATGTTTTTATTGATTAATTTTAACTTTTTTAAATGCTATGCTACAGATTATGATTGTTATAGTTTACCTTCTCTAAACAACAATCATCATTAAAAAATGATAAATATCTTTGTAGATTCAAATCTTGTTTTATGAGATCTGATAAAAAAAAAATTGATAAACAATCTCATCAGATTGATGGATATATTATAAAGCTATAAGGATTTTATAAAAATAATAAGTAATATAATTTACAATTTAAGCTGAAAATGATCTAGAAGAGAGGAATTAAAATTAAAATGATTATTTCCTATATTGATGTTAACAGATGAAAAATCATTTTTATTTTTATGCTTGCAATAACATAAACATAGTGTTTGTACAATTACTAATTTATCATCTAATATGCAGTGTCAGCATTTGTTTTTCAATAATGCTTTCAATTTTAAATAAATAGTTAACTAAAAACACTTGTTATATTGTTTGCTATTCATTCAACAATAACTAGGATTTATGGATATAGAATCTGATGAGTGATAGCAATTTTTTTTAAATATGAGAAGCTTTGTAAGATCTTGATATAAGAAAGAATTTATTAATATATAAAAAGACAATATTGTCATCCAGCGAAAATTTTAAAATTAAAAAGAATTTATTATTGATATTTTTCAATTTATAGAAAGGAAGTAAAACGATGATTTTTTTTTAATTGTTCATTATTTATCATAATCAGTAATTATTAAATTTTAATATAAATGAGACTACAACATTTTTATTTTTTAAATTAATTAACCCTTTTTTATATTAATGTCAATTTGCATAAAATAGTTTAGTTTATTTACTTAATGATTACACTTCTTTTAATTAATGCATTTAATTGTTATAAAACTTTAATTATAGAAGATGGTAACAAAAAAGCTATATTTGTCTGATTTTTCTATGCTATTAAATTGACTAATAAATATTTTTTTGTAAAATTTAAACTTAGTTAAAATTTTAAGTTTAGATTCAAAATTAGAGTTTGTTCTAAGTTTTAAGTTCAATCTGAATTTGCTTTTTTAATCATTCTATTTAGTCTAGATAGAACAGCATATAGATGATTCACTATATGCTGTTCTTAGAATATCTAATGTAAAGTACTTTGTACTGAAAATGGCTCAAAATGCTTAAAATGTTTTAAAATTAAAGAAAATTAAATATTTGGTAGTCTTAACAAGCAGAATTCGTGTGTGTATGTGCATAATATTCATGTATTTGTGTAATTGCATATGGAATGAGAAAAAAATAAATATCATTCTCATAAAAAGTGGTTTATACCATTGTTTCACTCATTTATTTAAATTACTGACACAGAAAAGTCAAGAAATCTTAATTTATAAATTAATTATCTTATGCTTTAAATTAAGATTGATTCTTGTAAATTTATTTTAAATTTCAATAAAGTTATACATTTTGTTGTATGACTTTAATATGTTTGTTTATATATATATTGATTACTTACATAAATAATTTATTAAATATAGGAAGAAAATGAAATGAAAAACTTTTCTGTAAATTCAAAACAGTCTTTTTTGGATCATCGGTCTTCAGTTGAATCGGATTGTCCTGTAGAGAGAATTCAATTTTATAAAACATTTTCACTTTTAATACGAATGGGAAATAGAGAGAAACAATCTGGAGCTGAGAATGAAAATAAAATAGTAAGTTTAATTATTTCCTAGACTGATGTTTAGTTTTTTTTTTTCAGTTAAATATCTTCATGAAAATCTACCTTTTATAATCTATACTATAATCATAAAAATAATTTTTAATTTAACATATATCTTCAGATAATTATAATTTTGTTATAATGAAATTATTAAAAAATATCAATGTAATACAATAGCATCTGCTTATTATAATTGCAAATGTTGATGTTATCAGAATTAGCACATTCTAAAATATATAAGTTAATATTCACTTATAAAAACCTCACTTATTGTAATTTTGATTATAGTAGTTGTTATCTCCAGGTATTAGTCATTTTTAAGTTATGTTTTCAGCTATCTAGTCTCAAAATTTGGCTGATAAAATGTAATCATCAGCCTTAACTGGTCTTCTTTAAATGTTAAACACTAATCATTTTAATTGTTGCTTGCTTGTAGTAGAACCATATAAGTTGCTGGCATTTGTTACTTCAATTATGCATTGGATGAATTATGGTTAATTAATAAATCTTCAAGTTATACATTTTTTAATTGTATTAACACACCTTTTTTAATGTCAGAGTCAATAAAAGAAGGATTTCCACTTATAGTCTTATTTCCTTATCTTTATCAGTTGGTCTTTAACATTAGTATAAAGTAGATGAGTCTTATACTGATTACAATAAGTATTTTGTTTCATATTGAATATATTAATGAATTATGATAATGGATATTTACATCTGTAATAAAATAATTGAAATTTATACTAATTTGAAAAATCCATTTTAGAAATCAATAACAAATTATTTTCTCTAAAATTTTTAAAAATCAGATATCAAAATTCATGATATACAAGATGTACTGTACAACATTTATAACATAACACTTAAATTTCATCAAAAAATTAAAACAAGATCTTTTTATAATACTGAATAAATTATTAGGAAATATTTTCTTATCAAAGTTTATAATAATCAGTTTGTAAGTTGTAATGTTTACACAGCAGGATGGTTTCAGATTTTTTTATCATATTTGTGATATTTATGTTTAGCTGGAGTGGATTTTGGAAAAGTTGTGTGGTTGATTAGAATATCAGAGATGATTAATTATAAGAACAAACTAAATCCTGTGAAAATTTATCACTTTTCATGGCTAAATATAAATTTATAATTTTGTAATGAAATGATCTTTCTTTTCTTTCTTTTATTTATATATATATATATCTATAACATATAAACATCCTCATTTATATATAAATGAGGATGTTTGTTTGTTTGTTTGCTATACACTCCTAGGCTGTTAGACCAATTGCTACAAAACTAGGCAGTTATGTTCATATACTTTTAACTTAGACAATGTCATACTCCCATCTCAAAATATCTATTGGATTTCTGTAAATCAATTAATTTCTATCTCCATTTGATTTGCTTATTTACATGTAGCGCCATTCCTAGAAAAAAAATTTAACAAAATAATATACTAAATATAATTCTTACAAAAAAGGATATAATTTTAAAAAATTTATATTATATCCACTTAACTAGAAATTTTCCCATCAAGCATGATGGTATACTTTTTATGAGAAAGTAGAGATTGAAGAGTAGAGATTTCAAGAAATTCAAGAAGAGATGTTAATATTTCTACAAATTAAGTAGTTTATACTATCTGTTGTAAGAGGCAACAAAACAAAATTTCACCTAAAGTGGACAAAAAAATTAAGAGTTATGGAGAATTCACTTACATACCCACAAACAGATTTAAATACATCGCACTAACCTTGTATAGCTTTGTAGTTATTACTTAGAATGTATCACAGATGTTTTTGATCCATTTCTAGGATCTTCTTCAGGTGTTCTATAAGTTTTTCTGGTGTAATTCCAGTTATTTTTTATAGAACACCTGAAAAAGACTTTGGAAATGGGTTGAAAACATTTGTGATACGTTCTAAGTAGTAACTGCAAAGCTACACAAGGTTAGTGCGATGTATTTGTAATTATCGCTTTGTTCATTAGATGGATTTGATTAAACAGATTTAATCCTTTATATAAAATAATATTAAAATCTTTCTTTATAAAATTACTTTATATAGTAATTCTGAGTAAACACTATTGTCTTTTAAAAGATTTCTTTACTGTCTTCCTTTAGTAATACACACCTTAATATTGTTTGATGATTGGTATTGTGATGATGTTTCTGTAGCCCTTGATAAAGCCATTTCATAATTTCTCATTGATAAAACAAAGATAAATTGTATGTACGTTAGTCAGATGAATGATAACACTTTTTAAATAATGGGCTAGTTAGATCATTATTTCTGATTGGATAATAGAACATCATGTGGTCACTATGGAAAGATTTTTAAAAAATCTGTTACAGAAGTGACACAATAAAGCTATTTTTTTTTTAAAGTTTAAATTTTAAATTTAATGAAGTATGTTTAAAATACGACATTTGCTAAAATATTTAAAAATGCAACTTAAGGGAAATTTCCTCATCAAGCATGAACATCATGTGGTCACCAATCTCATTGCAACATAAGTGTGATCACTGATTGGAAATTGATAAAATGTTAATTCTATAGTTAATATTTTCACAAAATAAATTGCCTATACTTTCTGTTGGAACACGAAACAAATATTACCAAAATTTCATCTAGATGGGACAAAAATTGCATGAGTTATAAGGAATTCACATACAAATGATGGATTTTATATTATTATTGCAACAATGATATAGCATGAAATAGATGCGCTATATCATTACTGAGACAGGTAGCATATAACACTTGTCTGCATGGAATCAAAAGTGTTACCTTGTGAAAAGCCTATAGTAAATATATAAGTGTTTAATTTTCCACATATAACAACTCAGGTTTTTTTCATTTCTGAACAGTACTTTCTTAATTCTAAAAAGTGCCCTCCAGTAGCTGAGTGGATAAAACTAGCGAATACTGGTAGTTAGTTAGTTGTGGGTTCAGGCATGGCAAATGGGCTGGCCACATGGAGTTTCCTGGGTTTTCTTTATGTTAGTAACACCTAACTAGGGGTCCATCTTCCCATAAAAATCTTTCTGGGATGCATCCCCTCAGCAGATTGCTCACATGTGTTGCCATAACCAAATAAACCAAACTAATTCTAATGAGAGATTATTTATTGTAATATCATCACAATGCCAAGCTGAAACTTTTTATCAGAATGTCCTCAATTCCTTTAGTAGTGTCTTGCCCCTGTGTATCATACTTCTCCTGTTAGCAATAGAGTTGTGTCGGTCATACATCTAACTCTGTTCAGGGAAAAATTTTTGAATTGAATTATCATGACTTCTGGTTTGTACCAGAAGTTTGTATATATTTAATCTGGACCTCCTGCCTCCAAGCTTTCCCTGTCTGATCTCAATTTTTTTAAATTGCAGTCCAATAATTTTTCTATAAATTGATATTTATGAGAACATACATTCTGGATAGTTTATACAATCTGTTGCAAAAATATAAACACTTTATTATCACACAAAAGCAATTATTCTTGCATTTATGAGATTTTTTAATTTAAACAAGTCATATGAAGTCTTTTGGATGTTAAGGTTAGCAACTTCAATCATATACAGGGTCATCACAACTTATCTAAAATGGATCACTTTTCAAATATTAATAGTAGACCAGTATTAATTAGTAGTCATTGACCGCATTTTCAGATGTCATCTTACCCATCAACTACCCTTTTTCTCTTATCTCATAAAATACAGTTGAGTTTGGGATTGCAAGATTGGGCTATGAGTAGCAAATTGAGATATTTGTAGGTCTCTATGCTGCTAGATTTGGAAAAATTATTACTTTTTATCTACTTTAAAAATAATTTGGGCTATATTTTGTGAATTTTGCTTTGCTTTTTATAAAACCTATCTGACAATCTGTGAGGTTCTCACCAACAGATGCTGTTTATCTGCAGTTTGTTTATTATAATAATAATATATATAGTATCATAATAATATAGTAAAAGTTCAATATAACAAACTATCAAGGGACCAAAAAAATTGGTTTGTTATTGGTTTGTTGTTTGTAAAATAATTTTAAAAACTGCAATTCAATGAAATGTAAAAATCTAAAAATAATAATAANATAAAATATGACTGAAGTTGAAAGAAATTAAAAATTTAGAAATCATTTATTTATTATTTAATTATTTATTTATATTTTTCATTTGATATCTTTTGTGAATATTTTGTAAGTTCTGACACAATAGAAAACTTTCCCGATTATCCACAAGTTTTATTGATAGTAAAATAACATTAGATTTATGGGAGAACAGTCTGGACCATCCTTTCTGGTTGCTATATTATGTTGAGTCAGTAAATTGAGAGTTCCAATAAAACAAGTGTACTGTATTTCATAAACTACTTTATTTTAGTGAATGATATATTTATCATTATCATCAATTATTTTTGTCAATGATCAAATTTTTGATCTCTCTGAAATAGAAATGTTGATTTGTCTACCAAAATAAACCCTTCCTGTTCCATTTGTTTTTTTTTTTCCAGTTCTGGAAAGTTTCTTAGTTTTTTTTTTTTTTTTTTTGAGTTTTTTTGTAAAGCATAGAATAAGCTTTAACAGAGCTGTAGAGCATATTGATAGGAACAAAAAAGTCAAAGGAACCGCGTCTCATGGAAATTTGTAAAGAACGCCCACTAGGGGGCGTCCTGAGCTACTAGTGCTTTAATAAAGCATTTATCTAAAATTACAATTAAATTTATGCATATACTTTCAATCTTATTCTCATCCTCATACAAGTTTATTTAAATAACAAACTCTAGCAAAAATTGCTGTGGTAATTTGAGTTTATTTCTTTAAGTGGTAAAAGTAATTTTTTTAAATCAAAAAGAGAGATTGGCTTTGATTGTTAAGTTTTAAGTTTTCTTATGGATATTTTCATTCATTTATGAAACAATATGATGATATCTATTATTTTTTTGAAATAATTATTTTTTAAGTTTTACACTTAAATTTACTGGAAGAGACTTCAGAATGTACAGTGACAAAGAAGATTGACCAATGAAACTCATGATATTATATTAATATTAGTAATTAATCAAGTAAGATTTCACTAGATCATATTGTGCATATTAAAATATAATCTCATGAAATTTTACTGTTCACTCTCTCTGTAATGTCTGGTGTCTTTTGATTTTTGAAAGTCTTGGTTATTTTATTGGTACTGAACAGATTTAATTCAACTAAATGTGACTTATTTATATCTGTTTGTTGTTTGTTTTATATATATATATATTTTTTTTTAACAAAATTTTTGTAATTGCTTACATTATAAATTTCTTGTATAACTATAAAATAAATAGAATTTATTAAGTAAAAGAATCCATTCTTTATTTGAAAAATATCTTTAATAAACAAATTTTGTCATTAACAATGAATTTCAATAATTACTATCCAAATGTAGGATTTAATGATTTATTTTGAAGTTATTCATTCACATGTAATCTTAGCTAGATTTTTAAAAATAATTTCTAATTAAATTAAAATTATTAAGCATTTAACTTTTTTAATATTCATATCAGAATTATTCTTTAGTGTGCAGACTAAAATTCAATTAATTTTTCAGATTTAAATTAAATTATAATAAGTTTTGATATTTTTCTTTACTATGTTAGAAATATACAGGGGGCATAGTCATGTTCTTTGTTTTACATTAAAGCAATTGTGTTGAAATTCATACACATTAAATTACACAACATTACAAAACATATATCAATGACTGATTTTGACTCACTTTATTTCAGTATATCCACTTGCAATGTCAATGCTCATGCCAGAAATGTCAGTAGTCTTTGAGGAAACAAACTGCAGTTTGTTTCCTCAAAGATCACTGACATTTCTGGTGTTCCTAAATGCAGTTACCACAATTCTGTTTATCAGCTCCTGAATAGAGAGTGACTTTGTTGCATAAATGCAATTCTTCACAAAATCCTAGAGAAAGAAATCCAAGGGTAATGTTGGCTGATCTTGGAGGCTATGGGATATCACTTAATTCTGTATTCAGGGAAGAGGTTATTCAGAGTTGCATGAACCTCTTGTGTCCAAGGTGCAGCTCCATCTAACTGATGGAAGGCTTCATTATTGAGAAAATTCTATTGCCTCATGTTCAGAAGAACAATTTCAATCAGGAGAGAATGAGAAGGTTGTGATGGTGTTTCCAAGAAAAAGTATAGTCCCAGAATAGTCATCCCTAACAAAAGATACAATGTGTTAGCTTTTAGTGAGTCTTGATGATGATGTCTATTGTCTTTTAGTGAGTCTTGATATGTTGAATTCCATTAATTCACCTTCAGACAAGTTGAAGATTGTCTTGTCCTTTTCAAATTCACAAGGCATAATATTTTATGTTATTTATTGAGTAATGCTTTGTAATATCATTTAATTTAATGTGTATGAATTTCAACACAGTTGTTTTAAAATAAGATAGGGGGCATAATTATGGCCTATCCTATATTTTACTAATTATTTGCCATGTATCTCATTCATATATTATTTAACTAATATGTTTTTATAAATTTTAGGTAAATGAAGATCAGTTATCTTTTCAAGCTATTAAAGATTGCTTATGGCTAGAATTAAAAGCTTGGCATAATGGTTCTACTATTTGTGATGAGAAAAGGACTATTTGTTTACAAAGACAATCTATCCCAGAAGTTTTAAAAGAAATTTTAAATTTTACTATACTTGATATATCTGAAAATGTAACCAATAGCACTGATTCAGGATATGTGTCATGTGGAAATGTCATTATAGATCAAGTTTCCTCACCATTCAATCAAAACTCAAATGAAGATATATCTGCAATTAAATATTCTAATGTCGCACAAATATATGATGATATTTCACTTGGTAATAAAGTTAATGATAAAGAAACAAGGACAATAAGAAGTCTTGTTAAATCACTTGAAAAAAGTCACAAAGATTCATTTCCACTAGAACATAATTATGAAGTAAATAGTTGTTGCAAGGATAATTTTAGAACTAATTGCTTTTTAGGTGATGCTTGTTCTTGCAATGAAGCTTTGAGTAGACTTTGTCAGAATTGCATCAATAATGAAAGTGAAGCTTTACATCAGGTTACAAAAGTATTAGAAAAACTTGATGAAGTCGAACATTATTATTCATGCTCTAAAGCATTAGGAAATGAATATCCTGTATATAATAGTGAAGAATTTATAATCAGAGTTAAAACACTGAATCTTTGGTTAAATCTTACACAATGCTTACGAAGAAAGATCGATTCCTTGGCTAAACTATTTGGTATTCGTGATAAACTAAAAGCTGGTTGGCCTTGTTATGATTTTAATGAAATACAAAGATTAGTTATAAATGAAGAAGATAAAAATCAAAATAATGACAAAATGGAATCTAAACATTCATTAAAAGTAAATTTTCAAAATATATCAGATTTTACAAGTAGTCCAAATACAACTGGATCTGATAGAGGTTGCTGTTCAACATCTGCTTCACCTGATGTTCAAAATATTAATCCATTTGATTTATCAGTAAATAATGCAAGTTTTAATCAAAATACAGCAAATTTAGATATCAAATATTTCAAAAGTTCTCGTATTTATCATCGTTATGTTGATAAAACACTTCGTCATAAAGGACTTAAATACATATATTCTCAGCTTACAAGTGTTCTCCGTCCTATTCTGTTTCATGTTCATGCTGCTTTGAAAAGACCAAAACCAACATCATATGCTGCAGCTGTTGCAAAGGTAAAATATTTTCTTCATTATAATTATTAAACTTGTAAATTGTATATTTTTAAGATTAAAGAATTACTTAGTTAATAATATCAAAATATTTTAGTATATATGTAATATTTATGCTAATATGGTTTGTAATAATAGTTAACTTTATTTATGATATACAGGATGATCATAATTAACATACTTTGTTTAATGCTGCCTTGATGGATATATAGCAGTCCAAACACAACCTAATTTTGTATGCTGATATTTCAGGATTTTCAGAAGACATTTCTGTGAGGGGGAATATAGTTCCAAAACTCACCACTATGAAACTTGTGGTGCTGTAAGTAGCAAAAAACATGCATTGTCTGTGGTATGTGGAATGCCATTTGTGTTACGACAGATCAGCCGTGATGGTCAAGGCTTTGCTGGAACATGTTTTACTTGAGAAGCTGTTTAGTGCCAAGATTGTTTAGTATCAAAGGACTTTGGTGGCATTACTAGTTGTTAAATTGCTCAATTAGCAAAATATATCTACAGCCAGGGCAAGGATAGAAATCTATTGCTGCACAAGTAGTGGAGAATATTGCTTTGATTGTTGGAGAATATCAATGGCCCATGTACAGTACCAGATGCAAGTTTCAGCAGTACACATGCAGTGTTGTGGCAATTAACTATGCTTATTCCATTATGTGGAAAGATACTGATGTATTTTTTTCTATACAAAATTAGCTATGTCTAACAGTTGCTTGATAAGGAAGAAAATTTACCTGACTTTTATATTAAACTTCTTTTCTTGATTGGAAGTTGTTGATGATTGGTCATGGGAGATCTTGTGGACTGATGCACATTTTTACCTCAATGGAACAGTTAACTCCATAGCTACTACATTTTGACCTTGCTACATTCACAAGCATCAACAGATTCCACTGCACTTACACAAATTCATTGTGGTGTAGGTGGTTTTACAGTTACATTTACAGACCTCAGAGTCACTCACTTTTCTGAAGTATCTGCGCTTCTCTCACTTTTCAAGTTATTTGCTCACTTTTCTCACTTTTTTGGTCATTTTTATGTGCTTAATTAGGACGATGTGGGACCAATCAAATATAATTTTAAAACCAAACAATCTGCTGAATTATCAGACTATCGGACTAGAATTTTCTGGAAGAAAATACTTGGCCCTGAGTGGGACTCAAAACTTCAACTGCCATTTAGTGTTGTTAGGTTATAGGAAACAAAATTCCTTTCACATATGAATATCCCTCTCATTACAAATTCAGAAGACAATATTGAATAAAGTTATGTACTCATATCATATTGTCATTATTAGCCAAAATCTAGTTCTTCAGAGTTTGCATTTCCATCTGCATGTAGGGATGCTTGCAATACTGATTAAAAAATCAGTGTTGCAAGCATCCCTACATTTTTGGCTGTTTTCTAAGAAAATTCCTAAAATCCCTTTTGCAAGGGAAAATGCAGAGGAATTAATTTTTCTCTCTAGCTGACAACACTGCTGCTGCTTTTAAATTTAAAATATATTATAATTATTAAAATTAACACGAGATAGTCGCATAACATTGTAGATAAATTATTTCGTTTCTGACAATTTAAATGGTCAGAAATGAAATAACATGACAACTTAGTTTCTTCTATTTTTTAATTACAGTAGAACCTCGATTATCTGGACTAATTGGGGATGAAGGTAGTCCGGATAAGGAAAAATCCGGATAATCTAAATAGATACTTTAATTTGTCTTTTAATGATAATACAACACGTTTTCTTTTCGATGACATATTGGTAATATTAAAAGTAAATACTGTATTTAAATCGTGATCAAATTTTCAAGAAACAAACGTTCGTATTGAATTTGGACTACTACTGACCAACGCTAACAGACTACCTATTGTTTAAAAGGCCCTCTGGTGGCGCAAGAAGACGGATTTTATAAAATAAAAAGCAGNGAAAATGTAACAAATATAGAAAAACAAATATTTTCAAACTCCTGAGTTAGAAAACATTTGTTTTTGTTTGTTTTCTTTATCTGTACACCATAATCAGTTCAGAGTATGTAATTAACTATATCCTGGTGTGGTAAGTGGTTGTTTAAAATTTGTATGTTTAATTTATAATAATAAAAAAATAGAATTTTTTTAGGATCACAAAAATCTAAGAAAGTAATATTTGTATTATAACTAATATTGTAAATTGTAAACAAAAATTATTATTATTTAATTCCATTTGTTTTTTCTGCAATTATTTATTTAAACACAATAAAGATTTTTACTTTTATAATTCACACACTCCACCAGAAATATAAAATAATAAATTATATAAATATAAATAAATAAATTGCTTACATGAAATTTATGAAGAAATAAACTAAAAATGCTAATATTACCAGCTAACAATCAATCATCAGGTATCAAGAATTAGAACAAGTAGAAAGTTTGTTATCATTGTAGAAACAGTGGACACATGATAGTGAGCAGAGAATGCAAAAATAACTTCTGATAAAACTGAGACTATGCTTCAAATAGGCCTATATGAATCAGATGTCACTTGTTTATCAATGTAAACCATCCCATGCTGTAGGTAGTGATATAACATTGCATAAATTAATTACTTTATGATAAGGTTCTTTTATTTTTCAGATGTTGAGATATTTTCTCCAGCATGTATTCTTTCTAGCAACTCTGCCTTACCCCATAATATATCAACATTCTTAATTAATGTGGTGATTGGTAGAAATACAACCTATTTTCATATCAGATATTACATTTATTAACCAAAAATCAGCATCTTTAATATATTTCTTTATGAACTTTATATAAGCAGTTTACTTTATATATTGATCTTTATTATTTTTATTAAAATATGTTTAAAAATATTTAGTATTTTAATTAAATTATTTTATGTTAGGCTAAATTATTTTAAGTAATTTTTATAATTATTTTCATAATATATTTTATACAAATTTTCATAGGTTGTAACAGATTCCCCAAATCCAGCTACAAAATTTTCAGATGCCATTTTACTTTGTCCAAATAAAGAATATTGTGAAGAATTATCTACATATGGAGTTTGGTCAGATACTTATCAAAAAATGAGGCTTCCTACATTTCATCGTCCATTCTTGTTTCTTTTACGTATTCCTTTGGATATAGTTCATGAATGTCTACAGCTACGAATTCAACAACAACCAGAGGATCCATCATCACTAAGTATTTATCAAGTGAGAGGTTTTTTCTTTAATTTTAATAGAATTAATAAAATAAGGTAATTCAATTTTAAAAGATTTAAATATAAATAAATGTAAATTATAAGATATTTAGCATAATAAATTTTTATAATTTTTATCCATAAGTGGCAATTTTCTTCTTATCCATTTAGTAATTATTTATCATTATTTTATCTTTGAGTATTGTTATCATTTGGATCATTTAGTAACAATATTTTGAACTTCTTAAAAAATATGTTTTCATGTTGACTTAATTTGTAAAAATTCTCAATGCAACATAATCAAAATACATTATCATATTTTAGTGTAGCTTGGATGTTATTACAAAGTTGTAAAAAAGTCAGTATGTTAATTGTATAGAAAATATGTTGTAAACTGAATAAAATATGACTGAAGTTGAAAGAAATAAAAAATTTAGAAATCATTTATTTATTATTTAATTATTTATTTATATTTTTCATTTGATATCTTTTGTGAATATTTTGTAAGTTCTGACACAATAGAAAACTTTCCCGATTATCCACAAGTTTTATTGATAGTAAAATAACATTAGATTTATGGGAGAACAGTCTGGACCATCCTTTCTGGTTGCTATATTATGTTGAGTCAGTAAATTGAGAGTTCCAATAAAACAAGTGTACTGTATTTCATAAACTACTTTATTTTAGTGAATGATATATTTATCATTATCATCAATTATTTTTGTCAATGATCAAATTTTTGATCTCTCTGAAATAGAAATGTTGATTTGTCTACCAAAATAAACCCTTCCTGTTCCATTTGTTTTTTTTTTCCAGTTCTGGAAAGTTTCTTAGTTTTTTTTTTTTTTTTGAGTTTTTTTGTAAAGCATAGAATAAGTGAAAATCAGAGCACGATCTGGTGAATATGGTGGATGTCTAAGTGTTTCCTACTGGAATTCATTAAACTCCGAATAACTAATGCTATATGAGAAACATTGTCTTGATGGAATATGATTAATCTATTACTTAATGCATATAACTGTTGGGTAATTTTATCTTTACTTATTTATACTTTTCAATATTTACACTATGTATTGTCTAATTATCTCCTATTAGTTCATAAGGAGTATGCAATTCCAGCAAACAGACATGATCCTTTTTTTGGTGAACATTAACTTTCAGAGTTGATTAATGGGAGTTACTAATTTTGATCCTATTTCCTTTTTGTATAGCATTGTTGTATAATAATAATTTTTCATTCCTTGTTGCCAGTGATTCAAAAATGGATCTACTTATAGAACATACTAAAACAATATCTACTGAATATTTTACTAGTATAAGAATGTTCAGTAGGTGTTGTTTTGTCAATAAATTTTTTTACTGAACTAATGATTCACACAAACATCCAGGGAGTTCATATAACCCAATTTTTTTAGGTTCTTAAAACTGTTGATTTTGGAACTTAAAGATTTTCTTCAAGCTCCTATATAATCATTTTTGGATTATTTTCATCTTTAATCCTTAGATTTTTGTGAATGATTGAATTACTGAGGTGATTTGTATCTACATTTTTCCAGTTTGGATTTGTTTTTCTTTAAGGAGAATGATTGAAGGTCTTGTGAATGGAAGGTCTGATGAAGGCTCATCTTAAACATTGATTTTCCATTGCTGAAGTTCTTAAATCAATATTGGGCTGCATTTTCTGTTTCAAGGGGGTTAAGTAATGAGGTGCCTGGTTCAAGTGACAAAATGAGAGGGGTGGCAAAATGAGCAGTCCAAATGTTCAAAAGGAGATAAAAATAATAAGCCAAATACAATGAAGTCCCATAAATGTACTTTAAATATGTTTATAAATAGTTCATATGAGAGACATTGCTAGAAGTACTCTCTATTGGCAACCATTCTATAAGTAGGGGAGGTAAAAATCAGTTTTGTCTCAGGTGTAAGTTACCATTGAGCCAACATTGTTTATTCCATTATTCTATTTGCAACTTCATATGTTTTTCTAGCAACAGCTACAACAGTCTTTTCTTGTCCAAACAAGAATTGTAATGTTTGGCCTCATTGTTTATCTCAACCAGCATCTAAGATATTACAATATTTTCCTGTATTAAAATGAATACATAAAGAAATAGCCAACATGAGCAAGAATTGTAAACACAATGTTGACAAAACACAAGAATTGTAAACACTTTTTATTTTACATTTTAATCACTAAATGAAACACTAAATCAAATGAAAAATAACAACAACTTTTTGTTGATAGTCTGCTTGTATCTTTCAAATGAGCTATAATATATTTAATATGAGATTCTTGTGATTTTACACAAGTCATCAAGAACTTGCTTTTAAAACATAGAACATTTTTGAGATAGCTTAATATTTTAAGCCATAATTTACTTACTGAAAAGTAATTTACTTTTATTATAATACAGAAAAATTTTTTTATTAGTTAATAAAAGAATGCAAAGAAGTTTTAAGAGCTGGAATTCAAATGAGACAACGTTATATAAATTTGGCTCAGACTATATTTGGTGAAGATGGAAGTGATGTAATTGAAGCACAATTAAATGAATTTGACAAAGATTTGAAAACAATGCTGCAGGTAATTTCTCATTTATGTGATTTTATTTATAAGTTTATATAGATTTATTTTTAATGAATTTAAATGAATATTAGGATTTGACAGATATTTTATTATATCATTTTAATTGAATTGTATTAGTGAGAGAAATTTTTGCATCAAAGAATCAAATTTGATTTTCTATAGGTTGTTAAATCTATAGATTTGTTTTCTATAGATTTAATAATCTATAGAAAATTGTGAATTCATTATTCATAAGTTGAATATTCAATGTTTTCCAGAAATGTAATTTATGTAAATATAGAAATATTACTCTTTATAAATTACTATAATAGGTTGTATTTTTTTTTTTTTTTGGAATTTTGAAGAACTATAAACAAGAGTTAAATATCCAGAAAGCTATCAGAAATTTATTTATATGTCAGAAGTTTTATATATATATATTATTTATATATCAGAAGTTTATTTAATGTCATATTTAGAAATCATGCATCTCCATGGTTTATTAGATATATAAGCTTACTAAAGATTTTAAATGCCTTTAAATGTTTAACATCTTCCAATTAAACTAAAATGAATTTCCTAAATTAAATAACAATAATAAAAACACTTCCTTGAGAAGTGAACTGCAATTAAATGAATTGCAGGAAATGAATTTATGATTTCATGCCATTCATTTAATTGCATTTAATTACTATAAGAGCTTCATTAACAATATTGGATAAATCTATAAGAATGACAAACCAGATTACTATTAAAAATTTAACAGATGATTAAATTACTATTTTAAAATTACAATTTGTATAACTATTAATATCCAGATGTAACCATTAAAATTATAAATTATTACAATATTTTCATTATACTATATCTAAATAATAAAAACATTATCTATAAATTTATGAAATGCAAACTAGTTATAAGAAAATATTTAATAGAAAGTCTTGAATTCAACTTCTTCATTTTATTAAAAAAAAATATATAAACATTGCAAATATATTTGCTTTCTTTCCATCATTACACCAGCAACAGTTTCAAACAGAATTCTTATATATGGGGATGATCTTTTCTTTGCAGCTATGCCCCTGCAACATCATGTAAATGGAAACAGTGTTCTTTGGTAATTTAGCCAATTTCAAAATGAAATACATAAAGTAAATATTTATATAAAGTTTATATTTTTTTAAAGAAATGAAATACTGTCAGCCAAGGTTTAAAATAATTTCTTCATTTTAACTCGATTGATAATTATAACTAAGTACATCAGTCAAAACTTTGACAACCAACATTCTAAATAGAAATGTTCTGGACATTCCAATTTAGAACATTGTTGATTGTTGAATGTTGTTCAGATCTTGTGTAAGATCAAAAACATTTGTTGAATTTACATTAAATTATATATGGTATTGTCAAGATTTCGATTGGTGTATTTAGAAAGTCTCAAATACGAATAAAAATGGTTAATTATGCTAGAGAATTAGTTATAAAAAAGTAAAGTGATAGTTTAATTTTATTCTGCATAATAAATTAATAAAGGTAATATTATATATAATTTATATATTTGAAACATCACAAATTATTTAACAGTTGTTTTAATAAATTACCTTTTATATTGAGTGTCCTACATAAGATATTACAAACTAATTCAAGAACAACTTGATGCAAATCATCATTTTTTTTTATGGTTTCTAAGGAGCTTCATAACTAATTATGTTACTCCTTGCTCTTTCTTGTAGATAGACAAAGGCAACTTTCAAATAAAATGCTAGNTTATTCTTTAGTGTGCAGACTAAAATTCAATTAATTTTTCAGATTTAAATTAAATTATAATAAGTTTTGATATTTTTCTTTACTATGTTAGAAATATACAGGGGGCATAGTCATGTTCTTTGTTTTACATTAAAGCAATTGTGTTGAAATTCATACACATTAAATTACACAACATTACAAAACATATATCAATGACTGATTTTGACTCACTTTATTTCAGTATATCCACTTGCAATGTCAATGCTCATGCCAGAAATGTCAGTAGTCTTTGAGGAAACAAACTGCAGTTTGTTTCCTCAAAGATCACTGACATTTCTGGTGTTCCTAAATGCAGTTACCACAATTCTGTTTATCAGCTCCTGAATAGAGAGTGACTTTGTTGCATAAATGCAATTCTTCACAAAATCCTAGAGAAAGAAATCCAAGGGTAATGTTGGCTGATCTTGGAGGCTATGGGATATCACTTAATTCTGTATTCAGGGAAGAGGTTATTCAGAGTTGCATGAACCTCTTGTGTCCAAGGTGCAGCTCCATCTAACTGATGGAAGGCTTCATTATTGAGAAAATTCTATTGCCTCATGTTCAGAAGAACAATTTCAATCAGGAGAGAATGAGAAGGTTGTGATGGTGTTTCCAAGAAAAAGTATAGTCCCAGAATAGTCATCCCTAACAAAAGATACAATGTGTTAGCTTTTAGTGAGTCTTGATGATGATGTCTATTGTCTTTTAGTGAGTCTTGATATGTTGAATTCCATTAATTCACCTTCAGACAAGTTGAAGATTGTCTTGTCCTTTTCAAATTCACAAGGCATAATATTTTATGTTATTTATTGAGTAATGCTTTGTAATATCATTTAATTTAATGTGTATGAATTTCAACACAGTTGTTTTAAAATAAGATAGGGGGCATAATTATGGCCTATCCTATATTTTACTAATTATTTGCCATGTATCTCATTCATATATTATTTAACTAATATGTTTTTATAAATTTTAGGTAAATGAAGATCAGTTATCTTTTCAAGCTATTAAAGATTGCTTATGGCTAGAATTAAAAGCTTGGCATAATGGTTCTACTATTTGTGATGAGAAAAGGACTATTTGTTTACAAAGACAATCTATCCCAGAAGTTTTAAAAGAAATTTTAAATTTTACTATACTTGATATATCTGAAAATGTAACCAATAGCACTGATTCAGGATATGTGTCATGTGGAAATGTCATTATAGATCAAGTTTCCTCACCATTCAATCAAAACTCAAATGAAGATATATCTGCAATTAAATATTCTAATGTCGCACAAATATATGATGATATTTCACTTGGTAATAAAGTTAATGATAAAGAAACAAGGACAATAAGAAGTCTTGTTAAATCACTTGAAAAAAGTCACAAAGATTCATTTCCACTAGAACATAATTATGAAGTAAATAGTTGTTGCAAGGATAATTTTAGAACTAATTGCTTTTTAGGTGATGCTTGTTCTTGCAATGAAGCTTTGAGTAGACTTTGTCAGAATTGCATCAATAATGAAAGTGAAGCTTTACATCAGGTTACAAAAGTATTAGAAAAACTTGATGAAGTCGAACATTATTATTCATGCTCTAAAGCATTAGGAAATGAATATCCTGTATATAATAGTGAAGAATTTATAATCAGAGTTAAAACACTGAATCTTTGGTTAAATCTTACACAATGCTTACGAAGAAAGATCGATTCCTTGGCTAAACTATTTGGTATTCGTGATAAACTAAAAGCTGGTTGGCCTTGTTATGATTTTAATGAAATACAAAGATTAGTTATAAATGAAGAAGATAAAAATCAAAATAATGACAAAATGGAATCTAAACATTCATTAAAAGTAAATTTTCAAAATATATCAGATTTTACAAGTAGTCCAAATACAACTGGATCTGATAGAGGTTGCTGTTCAACATCTGCTTCACCTGATGTTCAAAATATTAATCCATTTGATTTATCAGTAAATAATGCAAGTTTTAATCAAAATACAGCAAATTTAGATATCAAATATTTCAAAAGTTCTCGTATTTATCATCGTTATGTTGATAAAACACTTCGTCATAAAGGACTTAAATACATATATTCTCAGCTTACAAGTGTTCTCCGTCCTATTCTGTTTCATGTTCATGCTGCTTTGAAAAGACCAAAACCAACATCATATGCTGCAGCTGTTGCAAAGGTAAAATATTTTCTTCATTATAATTATTAAACTTGTAAATTGTATATTTTTAAGATTAAAGAATTACTTAGTTAATAATATCAAAATATTTTAGTATATATGTAATATTTATGCTAATATGGTTTGTAATAATAGTTAACTTTATTTATGATATACAGGATGATCATAATTAACATACTTTGTTTAATGCTGCCTTGATGGATATATAGCAGTCCAAACACAACCAAATTTTGTATGCTGATATTTCAGGATTTTCAGAAGACATTTCTGTGAGGGGGAATATAGTTCCAAAACTCACCACTATGAAACTTGTGGTGCTGTAAGTAGCAAAAAACATGCATTGTCTGTGGTATGTGGAATGCCATTTGTGTTACGACAGATCAGCCGTGATGGTCAAGGCTTTGCTGGAACATGTTTTACTTGAGAAGCTGTTTAGTGCCAAGATTGTTTAGTATCAAAGGACTTTGGTGGCATTACTAGTTGTTAAATTGCTCAATTAGCAAAATATATCTACAGCCAGGGCAAGGATAGAAATCTATTGCTGCACAAGTAGTGGAGAATATTGCTTTGATTGTTGGAGAATATCAATGGCCCATGTACAGTACCAGATGCAAGTTTCAGCAGTACACATGCAGTGTTGTGGCAATTAACTATGCTTATTCCATTATGTGGAAAGATACTGATGTATTTTTTTCTATACAAAATTAGCTATGTCTAACAGTTGCTTGATAAGGAAGAAAATTTACCTGACTTTTATATTAAACTTCTTTTCTTGATTGGAAGTTGTTGATGATTGGTCATGGGAGATCTTGTGGACTGATGCACATTTTTACCTCAATGGAACAGTTAACTCCATAGCTACTACATTTTGACCTTGCTACATTCACAAGCATCAACAGATTCCACTGCACTTACACAAATTCATTGTGGTGTAGGTGGTTTTACAGTTACATTTACAGACCTCAGAGTCACTCACTTTTCTGAAGTATCTGCGCTTCTCTCACTTTTCAAGTTATTTGCTCACTTTTCTCACTTTTTTGGTCATTTTTATGTGCTTAATTAGGACGATGTGGGACCAATCAAATATAATTTTAAAACCAAACAATCTGCTGAATTATCAGACTATCGGACTAGAATTTTCTGGAAGAAAATACTTGG